TTGACTAGAATATGAGGTGAGGTGCACACTGAGGGCAGTGAATCCCAGGAAGGCCACCATTCCAGATGGGGTGACTGGGAGGGTCCTAAAAGAATGTGCAGACCTGCTGGCTGGGGTCTTCACTAAGATCTTAAAAGTTTCATTGTCCTAGTCCTGCATCCTGCCATGCCTGAAGAAGGCCAAAATTGTCCCACTCCCTAGATGGAACAACATTGGCAGCCTCAACAACTACTATCATCATCATCATCTAAAGAAACACCTGAGAATCTGGGGTTTCAAGCATAAATGGCTTGTTTAACATTATGTCAAGCATTTCAAACAGATTTAGGTCCAGAGTTTGACTAGACCACTCCAAAATCTTTATTTTGATGTCAATGACTTTGCTGCTTTGAGTGTCCTACTTTTTTTTCCTTGTCTATTATTGCTTGTTGAGATCTTTTAGCGTATTTCACTTCATCAGATGAGTTCTATTTAAGTGAGTCACCAGGTCTAACTGCAATGAGGGATGGGTGCGTCATGTAAACGCAAATCCTGTTTAAATTTAATGAATCGTTTGTTGTAAAGTTTTTTTTGTATAACACTGTGTTTTATCTTTTACTAGACCATATTTCAGTTAGAGACAAGCTTGTTAGGCTCACCCAGAAGGTGATGCGTCTGTTTGGGAAAAAAGTGTAATGCAACAGTTTTAGATTAGTGGTTGACCACAGTGAGTGTGTGCGTTACAAGCTGTAATGACTCTTTTCTTGTAAACAGCATTCATACACATAGAAGACAACCGACAGGTCAAGTCAGGTGCTTTTATTAGCTTTCAGCCTCATATCTACTTATAACCATGTGGGTCTGGCAGCCAGCTGTGTCTAACTAGACAAAAGTTATCACGATTTATAAATGTAGAAACCAAAACCAAATGAAAAATCTTCAATTACAAAATCTCTCACTGAGATGTGATTATGTCTTCAATCAGATCACTCTGCAACCTGCAAGATAGAATGGAATAAAAAAAAAAAACAAGTATATTTTTCTTGTACTCTGTACTGTAACAAGGTTTCTTTTCTACATACGTATTATTTCATGGCAGCATTATTTAACACAAGTTTGGGAATGAGTAAATACGCTATATACAGTGATGTGAAAAGTGTTTGCACTCTTCCAGATTTTTGAGTTGGGTTTTTTTTGTATTTTTGTTACACCTGAATGTTTCAGATCAAAGAAATTTAAATATTAGAGCTAGATAACACAAGTAAACACAAAATGCTGTTCCTAAATACAGGTGTTCATTTTAAGGATGAAAACAATCCAAACCTACATGGTATTGCGCCTTTTTAAGGTCATGCAACAGCAACTCAGTTTAGGTCAGTATTGAGGTCAGGACTTTGACTGGGCCACTCCAAAATCTTCATTTGGACTTGCTAGTGTTTTTTGGACCATTGTCCGGCTGTAAAATGCAAGTCTGCTTTGCTGGAGGTCACGAACAGATGACCAGACATTCTCCTTCAGGATGTTTTGGTAGAGGTCCTGAGACAGGAAAACAGCCCAGACCATCACACTACTACCACCATATTTTACAGTTGCTATGATGTTTCTTTTCTGAAATGCTGTAGGTTTTATTACAGATGTCATGTGACTGAAACCTTCCAAAAAAATTAACTTTTGTTTTGTCAGTCCACGAATATTTTCCTAAAAGTCTTGAAGATGTTTTTGGCAAATGTGAGACATATGTTCTTTTTGTTCAGAAGTGGTTTTCTCCTTGAATTCTTCCATCATTTTTGCCCAGTCTCTTTCTTATTGTTGAATCATGAACTCCGACCTTAACTGAAACACGAGGCCTGTGGTTCTTTAATGTTGTTCTTTGAGTTCTTTTGTGACTTCCTGGATGATTCGTTGATGTGCTCTTGAAGTAATTTTGGTAGACCAGTAACTCCTGGGAAGATTCACCACTGTTCCAGGTTTTTTCCATTTGAGTATAATGGCTCTCTCCGTGGTTCATTAGCGTGCCAAAGCATTAGAAATGGCTTTGTTACCTTTCCAGACTGATAGATTTTAGTGACATTGTTTCTCAGGTGTTTCTTTAGATGATGATGATGATATTGGCTTTTTTTTTGACATATTTTAAGCAGATTCACTTTGTCAGACAGGTTCTGTTCAAGTGATTTCTTGATTCAACAGGTCTGCCAGTAATCAGGCCTGAGTACTGTTAGTGAAACAGCTTTCCAAGCTTTCCGAACAATGTGATTAATCACAGTTAATTCCTGATTTAACAAAAAGGGCAATCATTTTTTTCACACAGGACCAGGTTTGTATAACTTTTCTCCCTCAATCAATGTAATCGTTAATTAAAAACCGCATTTTGTATTTACTTGAGTTATTTACTTGAGTTTGTATGTTACTAAAATGTGTTTGATAATCTGAAACATGTTATTATGAAAATACAAAACACTAGGAAATCAGGATGGGGCCAACACTTATTCACACCACTGTATATTTATATTATAACACTGGAGTTAGCATTGGAGTGTCTACACTATGAAACCTCTTTATTCATCTTCATCACATATTATCTGAATGCAACACGTAAGGCATAACTGCCCCCAGTCTTAAATTAGTAATAAATTAGTTGGTAACCCATATTTCTATATAATAAAACACTTGTTAGGTGATGTTTCTGCTGTTGCTTAATCTAAGCATCACTATTAAATGGCTTTTAATCACAATGAGTCTCACCTTGTGGCTGAGTGTCACCCTGGGCTAAACTGTAGTAAAAGCTTCTAGAAGACAGTTCACCTTCATCTAATAGAATGAAACCGAAAGAAACAGTGGGAGTGAAAAGATAGGTAACCATAATAAAATTATGGCTTTTGATCACAATGAGTCTTACCTTGTGGCTGAGTTTCACCCTGGGCTAAGCTGTAAATAGGTCTATTGGACTGTGCATCTGATGGAGAGAAACAGTGAGAGTGAAAGACTGTGCATCTGATGGAGAGAAACAGTGAGAGTGAAAGAATAGAGGACCAAAGTAATATCAGTGACAATGACCAAGGATTGCTAACCTCTATATTCAGTGGTTTTAATTTAAGGTTTTAGGGAAATCTTGAATATGTTGTTCTATAATAAAATTACATTAGTTTGAAGCCCATTTTTTATGTAATGAAACACTTATTTACCTTAGATTGTTTCAAATACTAGGTGATATTTCCTTTTTTTTCCCTTAATCTTAGTGTCACTATTAAATGACTTTTAATCACAATGAGTCTTACCTTGTGGTTGAGTGTCCCCCTGGACTAAGCTGTAAATAGGTCTATTGGACCGCGCATCTGATGGAGAGAAACAGTGAGAGTGAAAGGATAGATGACCACAGTAATATCAGTGACAATGACCAAGGATTGCTAACCTCTATATTCAGTGGTTTAAATTTAAGAAAAAATGTTGAATATGTTCTATAATAAAATTAAATTAGTTTGAAGCCAATTTCTTATGTAATAAAACACTTATTTACCTTATTTACACTAATAATATTAACACTTATTTACCTTCGATTGTTTCAAATACTACGTGATATTTCTGCTTTGCTTAATCTTAGTGTCAATAACAAATGACTTTTAATAACACTGAATCGTACCGTGTGGTTGAGTGTCACTCGGGACAAAGCTGTAGTAAATGGATGTAGACGACAGTGCATCTTTTTCCATCAGAGAGAAACAATAAGAGTGAGAGGATGAATAACCACAGTAATATCAATAACAATAATCCGTGTTTGCTTTTTAATATATTCATAGATTTTCATTTGAATTTAGCAAAATTTCACATTCACAGTTAGATAAGAATGCAGCTTTTTGGTTAGTTAGAAATAAAATAACTAACAGTTACACACACGCGCTCTCTCTCTCTCTCTCGCACACACACAGACACACACACAAATGGACGTTGACATCATTCTATTGCTGTTGTGTCACTTTATGACATAAATTTGATTGTGTATCACGCTATGTACCACAGGTCTTCAGGCTGGCAGTAGTTTAACCGTTACTTAAAAAGCCATCTCTAGACCCAGTGGTCACAATTAATTATTGCCAAATCTCTAACCTTCCTTTTATTCTCTGGATGCCAATATTTTGGCCTCCAGTAACACTGTGAGGAATCTTGGAGTCATTTTTCAACAGGATATTCTTCAATGCACATATTAAACTAACACTCTACTTTTCAGATCAGGCTTAAAACTTTCCTTTTTGCTAAAACATATATTAAGGGCTGGATCAGGTGACCCTGAATCCTCCCTTAGTTATGCTGCACAATAATGTTTAATATTTAGTATTTACTGTCATATTCCCATATATCATTGTGATGTTGTTTATTCTATTACTCTTGTTCTCTTCTGCTTGTTTTCTTTTTTCTTTCTCAACAGGTGATCCAGGTGATCGATATATGCATTTTTTTTCTTTTCCATTCTGTTGGTTTTTGTCTTTTGCCCTTCTCCCCCGTCCCTCTTCTCAGCTGTTTCTCTTTCCCTCTTTCTTTCTCCCCTTCTTTCCTCCAGTCAAGTCTGTCCTGTATTTAGCAAGTGAAAATAAAATAAACAATAAAAGGTGAATCAAATGGACCATTATGGCAAATCTGGGATGGTCAATTTGGTAAAGTAAATCTTTCTTTGCCTTTAGACAACAATTCTGATGGCAAAAGAGCCAAACGGGACAGGCAGAAGAAAAGTTATGCTGCAAAAGGTGTAGACTGCTGGGGGATTCCCATGATGCACTGAGACCTCTCTGCATTGAATGATTGTTATTAACCTCTGTCTCTCTTCCACAGCATGTCTTTGTCCTGTTTTCCTTCTCTCACCCCAACCGGTCACAGCAGATGGCCCTGAGCCTGGTTCTGCTGGAGGTTTCTTCCTGTTAAAAGGGAATTTTTCCTTCCCACTGTCGCCAAAGGGGGTCATATGATTGTTGGGTTTTTCTCTCTATGTATTATTGTAGGGTCTACCTTACAGTATAAAGCACCTTCAGGTGACTATTGTTGTGATTTTGGTGCTGTATAAATAAAATTGAAAATTGAATTAAAATTAATTATGTTATATGTGTTCATGTTTTCACCTTTCATTGAGCTTTTAACTCCTATACTTTTTAAGTGCTCAATTAAAAGCTGTGTTAAATATTTATGTTGAAATGATATGCATGTCAGAAGTTGTACTTCTTGCCACATGTAACCTTTCTGAGCTGTATGAGGAAACTCAAAGTTCTCACTGTAGATACAGTTCATATCTGAAAGAGACTTGGAGTCTATGTGGTTTTCATTTGAGGCGTAAGTTCACTAAGCTCAAATTATCACTACCATCTGCACATTCATAAATAACACATACACACTGACAAAACATTCACGCAGTGCACTTTTTTTCTGCTTACGACTTCATAGAAAAACTATTGTGCTACTGTGGTTAAACGACTCCTCGGAAACATGCCTTTCTTCTTCCTGTTTTTTCTTGCAGCAGCACATGTTGCTCTACCTGTGTTCACTCTACTGGCCTCTATGGACATGGAAACACAAAACATAAATATCATTAAAACGCTGATAAACTACGTTTTAGAGTAACGATGTTAGTGTAGTGCACAACAGGCATGTTGATTTCAAAACAATGCATAATCTAATTAGGCAATACATCTCTTGGGCTGAGAATAATCTCCTAAATGCTATCATCATAATTATTATTTCAAGTTCTGACATAAAATAATTTCTCAAATATAAGGTACAGAAAGTATTTATTATAATTATTACATTTGTTCCACTGAACAATAAAAATGAACAGAAAATATTAACACAGTATCTCTGTTCTGACCTGTTTGAGCTTCAGTTGTGCCTTAACCATCTACGTTTAGAAAAATGAACAAGATATTTTTCAAACATTATATGTGACATGCAATTATCACTTTTAATTTTTCCATGTCAGAACACTTAAGGTGCCTCGATTCCAGATTAATGTTGCAAAGAAAACATATATGTTTAGTATGTACAGCAAAGCAAAAGCATTGAATCCAAAGTTTTGCATGAAAAGAAAATATTTTCAGTATTTTCATTACCTCTGTCACACTAACCTTTGCTAAAGTGATACAGTCCCATGGTCACAATCAAGAGAAAAAGAAATAAAATCGTAGCAGTGATCCAAGGTGTGGCAGCAGGGGAAGCGTGGCTCGTCTCTATGTGACTGTCTGGATTAGTAGTTGAATTCACAATTTGAGAGTCTAAATGACAGTTTGAAAAGAGAGAGTTCAGTTAAGACAAAAAAAACCCCCAAATGTTCATTTTCAGATGTTCAGTGTTTATTCAGACTGACACATTTTAAATAGTGTGTCAGGCTCAACAGTTTTGCTTCATTTTCATATATCTTTGTGTCTCACCTGAGACTTTCAGCCAGCTCTCTGGTGATTCTCCAACTCCTGAGATGCTGCACTTGTAAAGTCCCTCGTTTGATTTTGAAACTCTGTGGATGGTCATGTTTCCTGTGGAGCTTCTATGGATGTGACGTCCATCTTTGTAGAAATCAGCTGTAAAGTTGGAGGAAGCAGTTTTGTTTCTGCAGCTCAGAGTCACAGTTTCTTCCTTTAACACAGAAACAGCAGGACTCTCCAGGATAACAGAACCATCTGAAACAACAAACATTTGATATTTATTTATTGTAATTTCATTAAATAGAAAGCAATATTAAATTATAACCAATATTAAGTAATTAAAATTTATCAAAAGTTGTTGTTCTTTCTTTATTTTTCTTCAAACGTACTAGTGACACAAATGTTGATACTGTTGCTTCTTATTCCTCCTTCAGTCTCATACCAGTACTCTCCACTGTCGTCTGTATAAAGAGTTCTCATTTTGCAGGATGATCCTGTTGGTGTCCTCATGTTAGTTTTGTTACATGCATTTATTTTCCTTTTAAATTTATGCAGAACTTCACAATAATCGACTCCTTCACAGTGAAATGTTGTGGATTCATATTCAAAGAACTGCAGTCTGTTTGGAACAATATGAAGAAAAACTGCATCTGAAACACAGAATAAAGAAAGATTCAGTTTAGATTCTTATTACTTAAACTGATGTACTAGACTTTAATAATGACAGAGTAAAAATATATATTTTTTTAATGTGTATCATAAGTCATATGATGATTAATCATCACAGGACGCGTTTCGCTAAAATCACAAAAGAACAAGAAACAACAACTTTTCTTCTGAATTGCTCTCTCTTCCAAAATGTTTAATAATTTTAATATAGATGAGAAAATAGCATGTACACACCAATTTTCAGATCCTGTGCACCCAGCAGAATCATGCTGGCCATCACTAAAGAGACACAACAAAGTTTCATATTTTCTTTTTGACTTTTACAGCTAAGAGTAAACGTGTCATCATATCTTATAACTGGATCACAAAAATGCATTTGGTTACTGTATCTTAAGGTAAAAAGAAAAAAAATGCAATATGGTCAAGTGGAAATGAGAAAGTACTCACACAGTCTGATGCACAGAGCTCTGACGTCCATGTTGTCTTGCTGCAGACTAAACACTGCAGAGTAAACTGAAGTGTTACAGCAGTGAGCAAAGGTATCTTCTTGCTAATAAATCTATTTTAACATTAAATATTTTTGTGACGCTGAATACAATAATCCAAAGAAGTTGAATGGCTTCTGTGTCATGTCAAGCCACCTTGTTTCAGTTCACTATCAGTGGGCGGAACATGAAACCAGTTAAGGCTCTGTTTGGTGCAACTTGTAGGCTGGTTTGTTATGCTCACATCCTCAGTTTAGGTGTAGTATGTGCGTCACTGGGACAGGAAACATTTTTTTGTTATTTTTAGATTTCTCTCTTGTAAAGGCGACACTGAGTGTCAGTGCGATTACTTGTAAAAATAAAGGTTAAATAAGTAAAATGCTGAGATATATCACAGAAGTAGTGAACGTTTTAAATCTTTTCTGGCATTCAGCAAATCACTGAAGTTCTTTCAGCCATAAGACAGATAAGACAGAGAACATAAAATAATGCATTCTGCTATTTAAACATAGTTCATGTAAACATGAGCGTACATAATGATTTCATTTAGTTAGAAAGTGAAATGTGAAATATCTTCTCTTTTCATCAAAATGATGTCCACAAAAGTGGTGCCTCATTATTTCTAAATTTTGGTTGAAAAATTCTTTCCTGTTGTTATATTCAGCTTGAACTCCAGCAGGTCATCCTGATGTCTGCCTAAAAACATTGATTTGCTATCATGTTGTAGGCTCATTAGATGTTTGCATTAATGAGCAGTTGAACAAGTGTACCTAATGAAGTGACTGACGAGCAAAAAAACAACAAAAAAAAAAAAACAATCCAATTTGGTAATAATTTTCTGTGGAGCTAGAGTAAACACTGTATGTTGCAATTTTATATAACATTAAATGTTATAAAATATACTAGTAGTAACCAGGTTGCTCAATGAGACAAGATGATGACAGGTTCTTCAAAAGGCTACCAACTCCTTTGACAACCATGAACTAAAATCATTAGTTAAATTGGAATTGTAGAAATGCTTCAGGGTAAAAAACGTTTTGCTGGGGGCAATGTTTTAAAAATTCAGTGTTACTTATTTTATAAATTTCAATTCTAATGAAGGCACTCAGCTTGAATCGTTTTTTTTTACAGCATAAGTGGAAAAAAATAATGTTTTTTTTTATTGCTCTATTTTCTGTTGCCTACATTGTATATGAACTTTACCTCCACAAATAAAGAGGGAAATGAGAACAGTCAGAGCTTGACGTAGGATTCTGGTGCGGTAAAACTAAAATAGGTTGCAGGTTGACAGTTTATACTTTCTTTATACTGGACAGTAAAGGTCATATGAAGGTGGAATGAATGTAAGCATCATCACATTAAATTGAAATTCATTAAAACCCTTAACATGAGTAAATGTAATGTCAAAATCACATATCAGTGAAGAAAAATTGAGGCTGCTGTGCCCAGTGCTAGTTTCCTGCAATAGCTCAACTCGTTCAGAGTGATGCAATCAATTAATTTGCTGATTGGGTTTTATTTCTGCTTTCCTGTAATGTTCTGCTGTGTGGCAGGCAGGACTTTAAAGCGGCAGCTTTATTGCTGGAAGTCATTATTACCAGTACAAAACAAAACTAGAAACAGAAAACTCAAACTAAAACATTAGAAAAAAAAACAGAAACTGAGAACTAGAGTTACTTGGAACACAGAGGGAAGAAACACAGCATAGTGACAGTATGACATGGCAACTTACTGAGAAAAACACAGGGCCTAAAGTACCCACAGGCAAATCAAACCTATCGAGACAAAGAAGCAATGCAAAAAACACTGACAAAGGACACAGATTATCAAAGTAAAACAGGAAGCATGACACCTACGTAAAGACACAGACTCAGAGACACGGGCTTCACATTGAGACATGACTGACTCTGGAACAGAGGGAACATAGGCACAAGGGTGACTAGACATGAGACAGGACAGGCACAGAGAAAACATGGGAACTGGGCTAACCACAGACTAAGAAAAAGACAAAGAAAGGAACTAAGATCACTAAACACAAACGAAAGATTAAAAAAACAGGAATAACAATCATCAAATATCAAATCAAGATCTGAAAACACAAATACTGGGTGGCACACCCAGTTCGTGACATTTCCAAAAGGAAATGTGGATTGAGCAGCCATTTTAAGGTCATAAATAATCAGGCCCCATCTTATATTAATGACCTTGTAGTATCATATCACCCTATTAGAGCACTCTGCTCTCGCACTGCAGGCCTACTTGTTGTTCCAAGAGTATTTAAAAGAAGAATGACTGAGTACATGAAGGCTCATTTTTATCCTGATATTTGGACTGATATGTCACGGTTTGCCCTGGCAAGGACCCAAACGCAGGACTTTGTGATGCAAACAGTACACTTTATTTACAGTGAAAGGAAACAAACAACAATAAATCCCCATGCTCTCCCATGACTCCCATGTCGTGCCTTCCTTCCCAATAAATCCATGTCTTGTGCTCTCTGTCTGCACTCCCCATGCTCGCTGCTCTTCTGGCTTTCCATGCTCCTCCTGCAGGAAACAATAGCAGCACTCAACTATAGCAGGCATGCACTCAAAACCTAAACCTAAACTGGAAGACTAACATGGAGTCTCACACAATTATCCCGCGTCGGAGGAAGCTCCATCGCTCTCCTAAATAGCTCCCCCAACGAGCCCAGATTAGCAGCACGGACCCCCGAGTCCCCAGAGCCGGGTCCGTGACAGATATAATTTTAAATATTCAAGTAGAAAAGACCTCCATTTCTCAGCGTCTTAATTATATAATCATCTCACTTCTCAAGACACTCAGTCTGACCCAAAACAACATTTTAAAATGGCTTGTTTTCTTTGACTCTACTGAACAGTTTCTGATGCAGCATGAAACAAGCCACCATTTATTCAGTGTGTGCACTAGACCTGACATAGAGACATGCTCAGTAACCTTTGCAGGTGTATTTCACCTACCAAAAATTTGGTTCATCTTTTGTGGAAAACAAAGCAATGTGACACATTTACATCAGCAGTTGACCACAGTGTGTACCTGCTGTTTAGAAGAAATGAGCAGCAGCAGCTTTTTCTTTGAACAGCATTCATGCACAAGCAGAATGAGCAGAAGCAACAACTGGTTTAATTAAAATTCTACATAACAGACAGAAGCGTTTGTTAGCATATTAACTTTATTGGTACTTATAGTTCTTTATAGTTTTGTTATATGCAGAGTAGATAATATACAGCTTGTTCAATTGTAATAACAATGTGTGATAAATGTCTTCACTTTCACTCAGATGTGATTTTGTCTTCAATCCGCTATTTTTCTTAGACCTGTTAGATTTACAAGAAGTACAGAACAAAAATGTATTTATTTTTCTTTAAAGGGTAGAAAAAATGCTATTGTTAGTATTGCAAACCAAAATTAACTTCTCAGGGCATCTTCGTTACAAACATGAATTTTTTGCCATGAACAATACGTTTTATTAATATTGCTGGTATTTAATATTTACTACCCATCACATATTACATGTTATCTGAATGTGATGCACAAGGAATCATTAATCACAGTTAATCTCACCTTTGAGTTTAGTCTCACCCGGGCATAAGGTGTAGTAAATGGCTTTAGAATATAACATGTCATCCTCTAATGGAGAGATGCAGCCATAGTGAGAGGAAAGACAACCACAGTAACATCAGTGATGATGAAAACTATTTGCTTTTCACTGCATTCATTAGATCTAATTTGAAATCTTGGGAAATCTGACAATCAGAAGAAAATAATGTCACTCTTACATCAGAAAATCATTTTTCTGCCGTTTCATCTTAATGACATAAATATCAGCTGATCTAAACAGCTTCTTGAGTTTTATTGCACATTTCATTAACATAGCAAGTCAAGATTCCCGTTGCTTGTTTAGCATCAAAGAGTTGAGAAATAAAAATATATATATTTTACGCAATTTATGTATTTCTTCCACAACTGAAATTTTGAAAAGTTTTGGAATATGTTACTTTTGAGTCTCTCAGGTTTTTAAAGAGCTTAATTATTTTAATTAGTTTCATTCAAATATTAGAGTTAATGTTTCATTCTAAATAACGTGTACATATTTAAGAAAGATGTAGGAAAAACAAGACAAAAAAGGAGACTGTTTCGTTATTTGTTTTCATTTGTTTAAAATGTTTTAATTTATTTATGAGTAAATGTATAAATTATAAATGTATTTATTAATCTGGTATTATTACTAAAAAGATTTTTTTAAAAAAGATGCCCGATTAAATATCTTTCCTCTTACTTATAATATACATTGTTTTTCTTTTTCAAAATATAATAACAATTAAAGCTGCAAGCAGCGTTATGAGGGCCCTCGCACCCCGGCGCGTCGAGCCACGCCCAACACCTAAAACCAGCAC